GAAGACCATGACATCTACAAACAGGAGGTTGTCCACTTCCATGATTGTCTACCAGCACCCTCCTGGCCAGGCTGTTTGGAGACCCTAACAGGTGGTTTCTGGACACCTGTTGTCACCAGGAAACACCTGTTGGAGGGTGCTGGTATAGATATGTTTAGATTTGCATAGATTCGTATCGAGCGATGAGTGCGTTGTTTTTGTTTCACCGAGATGTCAATAGCCTGTGCTTCCGAAGAAGCATTCTTTTACTAGATTGTTTAGGCTTATGAATGTAGACTCTTGATTCATAAACCAGCCCATATGAAGATAATCTGTCAATCCAATTGGGGTGGTTATTGATCAAGAGCATATGTTTTATGATATTTTATAATTATCAATAACCACCCCATACTGTTGATCTAAGGCCTTGGAAGTCTTCTTATAATTCACGACTTGTATATGTTTATAATCTCTTGGAAGTCTAGGGTCTTGAACCCATGAACCATCGCTGTCGTGGATGTCCGAACCTAGCACTTGGGGTACTCCGTGCCGGGCCACACCCAGACCGGATGGTCCTGGGATTGTGCCGTTGGGTTCTGCAGCCGGTCCGGTCCGGGCGTGCCGTTGGGTTCATGGAGAAAGGACCAGTCTGACAGGGCGTGCTGAAGTGGACGACGCGTCCTGGCCCAACTTGATGTAGTTGGATGGATCACAAACAAATTGTCTCGCATCAAATTCACGCCAGATCAGTTCTTAACTTGGCTTGTGAGTTTTGTTTGCGCTCCAGATGATGCAGAGTACTTCTTGGCCCACTTGGCCTGTTCAGCTCAAATCTGAAGTGGGGGTTCAGTCAACACTTCTATAGCGTTTCTGCGCGTGGACTGGGCAGGACATGAATTTCCGGTCCCATTCTGTTCGTGTGCACTACAGATGAGTTATGGCTTTGTTCGGTCAATCTTTCGGTCATGCCTGTTTTTTCTTGGCGGTTGACAGTGCCTAGCGATGCTTTTCAGTCTTTCATGGGCCTTGGGGCTGCTGGTCAGAGCACTATCCCAGGTTGCAGGCTCATGCCGGTTCAACCAGCATGGTCAAGATGCAGTTGCGCTCGTGACGTGATGGCTTGTTGTTTGAGGAGAAGAAATGGTGACGAAGCGGAAGACCAAGCTGGACTCGTCGTGCCGTGTGAGGGCGAGAAGGTCATTTCATACGAGGGGGGACTTCGTTTATCGCCATAAAAGGAAGTGAACATATATATGAACTATTCCAGGACCCTCCAAGGGGTGTCCAATGGACTACCCCACACTACCTATAGGCTTCCATTGGGCACCCCTTGGAGGGTCCAGGTTAATTAACAGAATACCATGTTTCCGGTAGCAGCTACCCACGCCTCAACATCATGATTTGTTTGGCATGCGACCTGTACAATCCAATGAGAGAAGAACGCAGCACGGTTTTGCCCACCTGCGTAAAAGGCAGAGATCACTCCAAGGGCAGCCTTTTTTCACCATGCACCAGAACAACCCTCCTGAACCAGATTCACCTGTGGTTCTTCTTGTGACACATTTAATTACTGGGCAAACCCATTTCTTGCAGTCAAACGGGAGCAGATCAACAAGGCAGCTAGACCATGATTCTTCACAGACACTGACCATGTATGGAGCAGATGCCCGATTATATGCCGCCCCATTGACCCCCCCAAACCACCCCAATATAGGATTTGGGGGGATCAATGGAGAGTATGTACTGTATATATGCCTACATCAATGTAGGGATCAATGTAGGATATGTATATACGGGATCAATGTAGGCATTTGGAGTCTTTGGGATTTCTTTAGGACACCCACCCTTCCCTGCTCATCACTGGCTCAGCCAGCCGTCTTCAGTTATTCTATTGCCCTAAGAATCCTTGGACCCCGCGTCGCAGGGGTTTGGACCCTCAAAACCCTTTCCAGACCCTTTCCATTAGGCCTGGATTCTTGGGATGCTTTATATTGCTTGTTGTGCAGCATGCATGACATTGAATGATTGATATATGTTCTTTGGCTTTCCGAGCGGCGGTGTCCGTCATAGACGACGTGTTTGTCAAATGTTGCAAGTTGCAGCGCATCCAGAGTGAATCCCTCATTGTGTCCTACCTGCGCCAGGTGCAGGTCAAGAACACAAAAGAATACATACTACACATACTACATAATATATGACATCCATATTGTTTTTTTTGGGGGGGGGGCATGACAGCTCCAAAAGGGCGTGCTTTTGGACCTTTGCAGGTTGCTCGTTTCAGTCCAGGTTTGCACGACTGAAAACCGAAACGGCCGACACATCTACTCTGAACTGCTCTTAGTGGCAAACACAGTACGTCGTCTCCTTGGGTGTTCCTGGTCTTCTGGTGTTTTTCCACTGGGGGAGTTTTCGGACGATTCTAGGAGACGGTGTTTGGGTGCTTTTTCCCCGTCCTGGCCTTCGTCGCTGCGTCTGTGCCCCGGTGGGGGTTTCTCAAGGTCTCGACTGCGGGACTTGGACCGCGGGTGGACGGGGGGGTGGACGGCGTGTCGCAGGACTCCTTCCTTTGGGACGACGGCTGGGATGATCCACACAGCCTTTGGGAGTGGCCCGGAGCGAGCAGACCGACCTCGCGTGAGAGAGGGCATGCGGAGTGCGATGATTTGGAGGGCGTTTGGTTCTTCACCTGTGGTGAATCATTCCCATAGTCCATGGGACTGCCATATATGCCTACATTGACCCCCAATGATCCCAATGTATAGGCATATATGGCATACATGGAGCGTCTGGGATTTCTGACACATGAGCTATCTTCTAAAACCATTTCTTGCAGTCGGGCTTCGGAGCAGATCAACGTAGCTAGACCATTGCCCGACACACGCCGGGACACGACTGGAACATCGGTTCCGCATCGACCTACCTCGACCCACCAAAGCCACCACCCGTGGCCGTTTCTCGGCAGTCTACATGGAGTGGCCTGGAGTGCCTAGGGGGCCGGGTCGCCCATGGTCGGCACCCTCCGGGCTTCGGAACATCCCGATCGAACCGAGTCCACGCACCACCCGAAGGTCCGGCGAGTCCTTCGGCCGTCGAGACGCGACCCATGGGACTGCCAGGACTGCCGAGAAACGGCCGGCCAGGGGTGGTGCCAGAGGGGTCTTGTTGGGGCGGCAGTCCTATGGCAGTCCCATGGTGGGGTCATGGGTTATGTACCGAAGAAAAGGACTACGACTATGGAACTTGTGGGGTCATGGGGCCCATCGGGTCATTGTCGTTCGGGTACGAACCGAGTTGGTCGGGTCCATCTTGAAGCTGAGGGACCGAAGGGACCGGACGCCGCGGACGGACCGGAGACCGCAGCGAGGTTTGACCAGCAGCGCTTCCCGCGGCGCTTCGACGAGGTGGCGAAGAGGGCCAAGGACTTTGGCGCCGGCACCGGCGTGTGGCTTTCGCCCTGGGGCGGCTACGGCTTCACCCAGGCGTGGGTTCTACGGCGTGGGCTTTTTCTTCTTCTTTCACAGGTTGAGACCAGCACCTTCCAACAGCTCTGCTGTTGGAAGGTCCTGGGAGATGGGTTTGGGGGTTGAAGTTGTTTGAAATTCTTGTTGTTGCCGTTGTTTTCAAGAGGGAAAAGGCGCTGTGGGGGGGGTTGCTAGGGCAATTTTTTCCGCTGCATTTAGGTGAAGGAGAAGATTTGCAGAAGGGTGATGGTGAGTTCAAGAATTGAAGGACAACAGTGTTTCTACCTTTGGTATACCCTTGGCCCTTAGCCCCTTCGGTTCATAAGGGACTTGCTACGGTTATATAAACCCTTAGCAGCAGAATATCCATAAGTCACAAGGGCAAGATAGAGTCCCTGTAGTAGGAGCCTTAAGGCTAACAGATATGCACACTTTGAAATTGACACTGCAGATTCTTATATGTACGACTTGCCCATCATTGCACATCTTGCTGGTGGTTTCATCTCAAGATCATCCAGTTGACCCAGAAGGCACGGTCACTTTTGGACGCCTTTTTTGACCATTTTGGCGGCCCCAGAGTCCAGAGTCCAGACACGTGGCGCAGCGTCCCCCGTGTGTTGTTTCGCACGGCGTGACACGTCGGAGCAAAAAATGGGTCGCGGTCGAACAGGAGGCCAGAGTGAAGTTCGGAAAGAAGCAAGGCTACCTGGCTTGGCGAAACAACGGAGAATGTTCGTCGATTGGTCCCGAATTCCTCCTAGGTGAATCCTCTTTTGCCTATGGGCTCCTTTGTTATGGGGAAGATGTTTCATGTTCCGACGGTTTCCTGGAGAAACAGCACCGCCGAGGCTATGAGACGAACTACAACAAGAACATCCAGTCCGAAGGCCGAAGACGCTTCCGCCGAGTCAGCGAGGTCAGCGGGTACCAAAACGGTTCGAAGTCGACCGGAACGAAGGCGACTCCGGTTCCGAAGACGTGGTGATATGTTAATTTAATCCCAGACACGACTTGTTTGGGACTGCCATAGGACTGCCGCCCCATTGACCCCCGTGGCACCACCCCCATGTATATGAATATGGCAGTCCCATGGAGTGTCTGGGAATGTGACTTTAAGACGTTGGTCAACGTGAAGTTGTTATTGTTAGAAACTAAGAGAAGGTGGCACCACTCCAAGAACAGCCTTTTTCTGCAGCATGGTTTGAAAACTAACATGTATGGCACCAGTCAGCAAACTGGACAGATAGCAACGCCTGGTCATGTGCGCTTGCGTTTCATGCTTCTGGTACAAGCATCCAACCTCATGTTCATTGACTCAAAGTTATTTGTTTCCACGTGTTCTTTTTTCCCTAGTCTATGCATGTATAGGATGACCATGATTGTTTGTTTGTGTTGCTGGGTGCTTTCCAGGACAGTAGAAACACTCCAATTGGACCCCGGAAATGACATGGATTTCAGTCAGTCGGTGCTTCTTTTGACATCTCCTCTCCTTGGTCTTTCAGTCTTCCAGGCTTCAGCCTGGCGGGGAAGAAGTATCAGAAGGCCTTCCACGAGACAGCCATGCGCTTCCGCCGTGAACAGGGCGTGGCTCGACCGCCGCCAGGAGTTGGTTCTGAACGTCAAAGGGGTTACGCCTGCGGGGTCAGCAGACGGGTCATGGTTGTTTGAAGAGGCAGTTACTATAGTAGCACTAGTAGCGATGGCCTCCAACTTACTAGCGATGGCCTCCACCTAAGACAAGAGCGTCCTTGTTACTATATAGGGATTGTTTTAAGAAAAAGATCAGCTGAACGTGCACTTTTATTAATTTGATATGGCTTTCCGGCTTGCAGGTTCTTGGCTGTTTCGGCCCAGCCAGAGCCTCAAAGCCTCGAGAAACCTTACCTGAACAGCCTCGACTCTGGATGACTCTGAAAATGGGACGATGCCCCCAGCTGCACTCATCTTCCGTACGAACTGAGACTCCTGGTAGTGAATTCTCATTGTAACCTGAAGTTCCTGCAGCGCAAACCGGGCATCTTGAAAAAATATCAACATGCAAGAGGCTGCAAGACTTATAATGTTTTTGTTTCGTTGGTAGTGGAACTATCGAGACATGTCACATCCCTTTGAATTCTTCCCCCAAGAAGGAGCCATTTTTCCACCTTGGACTCCTCGGTTTCCTTTCCTCGTCTTTTGCTCTTCGTAACTTGCGGGTCGGAATCTCGAGGGTGAACACGACCACGACCTGGGGACTGGAGTAGGACTGCCCATCCCCATCAGTTGGGGTGGTTGATATCAGTTTCGTTGAGATTTCAGGTCCCATGTCGTGTTGGCTCTGAGATTCTCGTTGGATGCCGGCCGCCCAATCCGAGCCCCATACCTTCCACTCAGGGGACTGGAGGGGTTGCAGGACATTGATGTAGCAGCCGACACCTGGTCACCACAGAAAGGACGTTTACGGTAACTCTACCAGGACCCTCCAAGGGGTGTTTATTTATAGCCCCTTAGCTGTGATTCGGGGTGTCCATTAACCACCCCTTGGAGGGTCCTGGTACAAAAGCCTCCACAACTTCAAACCTGGCAGTGAAGGTGCTGGAATGTAGCCCAGTTCGGCTGCCTTTGTCTGGAGCCCCCGATCCCGCCTTGGGTTTTTGCAACTCGGGTGACATGGGTGGACCAAGAGGTGGACCAAGAGGTGGATTGCAGCTTCGGGTACACTTGTGTGCCTGGAGTCGACCCGGAACTCGTACCTCGGAAAATGGGTACAGTCGTACCTGTTTTTATGGGGTCATGTCCCATTTTCCAAGGTACTTTGGAGGGTCCAGGTGGCCTCTAATTGGTGCCCCTGTAGGCATCCAGTCGTACCGTACCTCAGGTTCGGTGATCTGTTCGACACTGTGATGTAGGTGCCAAAACGTCGGGTCCAGTCGTACCGAATCTGAGGTTCGGTACGACTGGAGCCCAAACGGGAGCTACTATACCAGTCCCATATATGCGTGATCCCTAGACTTCCAAGACCATTAAAAAGAATGGTTGAGCAATTGGTTGAGCTGGTTTTTGTAGTGTACAATCCATAGTTGGTTCGGTAAAGCATTACTTCTAATAGTGGTTGGAAGTCTAGGGTGCTGTTTTGGGATTGGTCGAGTCGGCCGGCCCGATGGAACGTCGAGGTGAACATGTTCAAGTTCGACGGCGTCGCGGGCAATCCCACCGAGCTGGCCATGGAGATGGAAGCGATGCTGCGGACCCTGGCGCAGCTGCGGAACCAGAAGTCCCAGAAGGATGATGAGGACTGGGGAAAAAACGAAAGAACAGGAAATAGGAGGAACATGACTCCGTCCGGTGTTATTTGTTGTCCGGTGGTCTATGGGAGATTGACATGCACTTCTCTTGCTGGCCGACTGTGGTAAGACTTCGCAGCCATGATGACACAGAGCAGGCATGTATTTTGCTACTGCGAGTCAAAGATGGCACAGAGCACTGGGTTTGCCCAACTCAAGTATATAGGTACAGTCTCAAAACATGACTCCTTTTACCCCACCTGGGAGTCATGATCCACCACTACCACAGGGATCTAAACATATGTCGTTGTGAACTCTTGGGGAATGCTCATTCCTTTCTCAGAAAGACACGACCAGTACTTGGACCCGACGACTTGTCCCTACCTTCGAAAATGGCACGTCTGACCCAAGCAACAAACAGGTACGACTGGGGGGGCCGAACTCACAGGTTGACTCCGTGGAATTGTCACGAGAATCGGAAGACACGGAAGACGCGGAATCAGAGACGGGCCGGAAGTACAACAATGGGGACATGACCCCATCAAAAAGTAAAGACCGTTAGCAGCACCACCCAGCTTGGGTCGTAAATATAGACCCTGCCCACCGAAAAGAACACGATCGAGTTTTCCATCCAAGAGCTACCCCAAACTGGGTGGTGCTGGTATACTATATTTGTCATGGGATTCTGCAGTCTCTGAGTCTACTTTCTACTTGCCTGGACATGGCGGAGATTCGATCGTGCTCGGGCGGAGTTTGCATGCAATTTGCATGGCGAATCTCCATTGGTAATGAGTCATGAGTTAGTAGCTGCTGCGGGTAATGAGTTAGTTAGTTGCGCGAGTTTCAGAGTTATATATGTTGGGGAGGCTGGCACTGGTAATATCAGTTTTTGAGTCAAAGCCATTCACATGGCTTTTCGTGTGCTCTTTGGTGAAAGCCTTCCCCCAATTCTAAGTCCCGGCACTTGCGAACAGAACCCGATGTTGGATCAATCACTCCGAAACCATGGGAGTTAACTGCAGCTGAGGACCCCTGAACCGCAGCAAAATGGAATATTATGACAAAGAACACAAAAACGTGTCTCAAACACCTCAAACTCAGACCTCTCTTTCTTAAGACATATTTGACCCCTGGAGTGGTCTCCAAATACCTCATTCCCAACCCTCAAACTGCTACGTGTTTGAGGTCCAAAACCCTGGCTGTGAGGGTCAAAACCCTGGCTATGAGGGTCCAATGAGCCTTTGGGTTGAACAAAATGCTCGAAACCGTCCCTCGGCTCTTGGCATCTCCGGAGGAAGATGTTTGGATCAATCTGACGACCGGCACTTGGCCCTCGCCCTTCTTCCTCTTCTGGGCGGATAGCATCTGGCGTGGAGGCCCTGACATTGCTACAAGGCCCAAAGATTGGTCTCCTGGTTTTGCTTATTAAAATATGTTTTACTATTTTTTAAATCCGGTTCCTGGGTGAATCCCCTGCTGGTGAAAAATATATGTTGTTTCTTTCCCGGCTCCGGCTTCCTTGGACAATCAAATCCCAGGTATGGCCCTCTCAAGATCTCCGACAGGCGCGGAGAGATTCCCCCTTTCTAGGGCGAAAAAACCCTCCTCTGCCCCCCCCCCACGCTCTCCACATCCCAGACACTCCATGGGACTGCCATACATGCCTACATTGGGGTGGTGCCAGGGGGTCAATGGGGCGGCAGTCCGGACTGGCAGTCCCAGACAAGTCGTGTCTGGGCATGTGAAGCCTCCGGAGGTGTTTCTTCGGTCCTTGTTCCACCCTTCGTGGCCTCACCGTCCGGTGCTTCGGAAGCGTCGGCGTCGGCGTCGGGGACGTCTCGCGTTTTCGGTAGCCACGAGGGGCGTGAAATGGACCAAAGAGAAATGCTGTTGGTGAGGGTTCAGAAGCCTTTTGGGGAATGTGTGTGTGATTGCGTGATATATTGTGTATGTGTGTCTGTGTGTTTGTTTGTTTAATTTCTGGGGGGGGCATTGATGCTTCTCTTTAGGGTGTTTCTTTGGCGTGCAACAGATGGTCTATTGAACAATTGAACAGGTAAGATTTTGATTGAACGCAAAAAAAAAGCGAACCATGTAATAAGCAAAAAGTTTGCAGGAGCACCCTCATCTTTTGGAATCTTTCGGACATGATTTCAGAGGTCATTCGAGTCATTCTTTCTCAATCCTACAAAGACCTGTCGTGCAGAACACTATGGCACTTATGAGCCATGCAAATCGCTGTTTTATATTGGCTATTGAATAGGGCCCAATCTAGCCCGTGTTGCAGGCAGCAGTATACCCCAGCCTGGCTGTGTTGCGTTTGGGGTCAATCATCACCTGCATACCGTGGTTCTTCAGTTCGTGCTTTAGTTGGCTGGCAAAGAACTGATTAATTTGAAGTCGCTTAAAGTCACTTGCGGCGTCTCTTTCCGCACCCTCGCCCTGCGGCGTCTCGGCTCCGCGAAACCGCCCTGTTTAGGGTGTTTCACGGACCTTCGGACGCCCCAACGGGTCGGGGCCTTCCTTCGAACCGGCAGGTTGGCGATCCTGGAGAAGCGCTTCGTGCCACCTCCGCTGGATGCCATCGGCTTGGATGGTTTAACGGGCCGGCAGCGGTGGATCCGCTGGCGGGCCATGGTGGTCTATATCTTAGTGCCTTGGTGGCGGTGGTGGTGAGGGAAGAGACTGGGCAGGTATTGGTGGGACGGATTCCCTGCATCCAGTCAGACCCAATGTCTGACCTGGTCGGACAGGTCCCGAGTAGGAGTAGTGAGTTGAGACGCTCAAGTCCAGTAATTCATGATGGAACATGAGGTGCAGAACAAACTCGGTGGTCCAGGAGTCACGTTCGACGGGGTGCCGGTTCCGAACGGAGGTCGTCGGGGTGCCCAGCTACTCCACTCACTTAAGACCAAACACCACCCAACTCCTTGTGACCCCTGGGTGCTTCTTTTTTGGACCTCGAGGGCCGTGAGTGCAAACACTGCCCTTGGCATAAACGGTTCTTCCCATGAGGCCCAGCACGAGGATCCCTCGGTGGCTGCGGAAGAAACGAGATGCATGGGTTTGAAAACGGTGGAAATTCAGCCCGCCCAACCCGTGGAAGCCTCGTCGATCAACCCTGTCCCGCCATGTTTGCTTGTTCTCAACCAAACAGATTAAAACAAAACGCTGAAAACCGCTGCAAACCGCATCACAGATTGGTGCAGGTGGTGAAGCGCTCCACCTTCTTTCCCCTCTCCCAGCTCATGATCCACGGCGTCATCGTCGCCTCGCACGGCGACGCCCTCCACTGGGGCCTCAGCCGCTACGACCGTGTGGACTTCACGTGGCTCGGGTTGCGGTTTGGACCGACGGAACGCACGTCCATGGGACGTTGCACGTTTCAACATGCACGTTTGGGTTGTTTGACTGGGTTTGAAGGGGTCAATGTATAACAGCAAGATCATGGAGCGTTTGGGTTGAAAAACCTGGAAAATCTGGGGATTGGTTTCCCCACAAACATGGGGTTCACCTTGGATACCTATGACTTCCAAGACGATTTTAAAAGGGTCGATCTGGTTTTGTAGTGTAAAATCCTTCCTCAATAAAACACTAGTTGTTCAGGATTCAGGATTTGGCATTGAATTCATGCTGGGCCAGGAATCGTAGATTTTGGGAGGGACGAGCTGGACTTCGTGATGTTCGTGGCGCCCTGGCTGAAGGCAAGAGGTTTGGTCCTTTGTGGCCATGGGACTTCAATTGCAGGAGCGCAGCAGTGCAGCGAGTGCGGAGCGCAGCGAGTTCGGCTGGGTGGCCAGAAAAAGTGGAGTCGTGAAAGAGGGACATTTGAGGAATGGAGGACACCAGAATCACCCAATAGGCGTCCAATGGAGGTCCATAAGCCTCTATTGGACACCCATTGGGTGACCCAGGCATGTTTGGGGTGTGTGTTTGTCATGCTTTCCGGTGGCAGGGGTCTCTGGCCTCCAGAGCTAGATGTCGCCTCTATTTTTACAGGTTTAACTTTCAATATCAATCATACAAACAAACAAGAACAGAAAGATAACAAAGTCATGGGGGTTGCTATTTGGACGTTTGTGACACCCGGACCTTGATTCCTTGCAATTGCACTCTCCCAATCAATAGACTTGGGAGGGCCATGCGGAACCTCCAGGCAACTTGCCTGCATGTAAAGGAGGTTTTCCCTATGAAGATGGGTGGAAAGGGCATCTACCCTTGGAATTGTTCCTTCAGCCCATGGGAGTGAGTTAGCAGTGACTTGGACCCCCAAAAGTTATGGGTGTGTATTAGAAATAGGGAGACCTCCCAGGCTTCGACCCCCTGGAAGGTCATAGAACAACGGCCACCACCTAGAGCGGTCTCTCCCTGTTGGAATACACACCTTTTATCTTAAAGAGTCTTGAAGTGGGAGGCCTTAAAATGCCTCAGGTCAAGATATGTCAAGATCCTAAAAACAAACCTGTTGTGAAATGCAGAGGTTCAACCATCTCAAAATCATGCTAAAATGGGGCTCCAGCGAATGATGTGCCGCGTCCTGCCTCCCGAACTCACCAAGAAGGCCTGGAAAAAAATCTCCTTCCCGAGGGATCTAAAAACCTTGTCAGATGGTATTCGGACCTTCCTGGCACCTACATAAAACTGTCTCCAATCACCTTCTCGGAGGTGATGTGGATCCAGTATGGATCCACAGGTCTTTGAAGCGTTGATGGGGGCTTGTTCTCAGCTGCGTCCACCACCTTTGTTTGCCTTTAACATCCAGATCCCTTGGGCCGGTTTCAGGAGCTCTACGTGGCACCGCGGCACATGACCCCAGAAGCTTGGGATATCTTGGCCGAAGCCTTGAGGCCGACACGGGGGGGACCGAGGGTGCCAGGGCGGCTGTTCCATGATGTATATGAACGAAGCATGGTTGTTCCCCAAGTCATTCCCAAAAATGGCCTGGCTCAGCAGACCCATCTGAATGGGAATTATCGAAAAATGGTGAACTTCGAAGCAACACTTCTCGTCTTCCGGTCGTGGCCGCCGGGGCGGCATGGGGCCTTGGCAGGTGGTCGAGGCAGCATGCGGCCATCTTGAGAGATAGCCATTGGGCCTTCGGGGATGTCTCCAGCTGCTTCGACTGCAGAGTCTGGTCGATCCTCGATCCTCTTTCTCCGACCCGAGGATGCCTAGAAGCCCCAATATCGGGGAGTTGGGTTCGGGTCCAGACCTCTGAAGAGGTGAAAAGGAGCATTTCTGCCTAGGTCCATCCAATCAGCCAAGGTTTTTCCAGATCATGTTGGACAGCGAAGAGTCCAGGTTCCAGGTCTCTTGCTGGTTCCAGGTTCCAGGTCGTCACGTCCACGAAAAAGCCGGTTTTACCGGAAGTGTCTGCGGTCGGAGGGATAGGCTTCAAGATGCTGCTTTGGAGTGCTCCTGATTGAGACAGGTGTCTCAATCCTAGGGCTCCTGGCCCAGATCCTCAGGTTCGGTGGTGGTTGATTAGAACCCCGTGGCACCCACCCCTGTCCCAGCTTCGAAACAGAGGTCGTTGGATCCCTAGGACAACTCGTGCAAAGATTCTGTTGTTGTTTGGTCCCTAGGGCTCCAACCATATCCTCAGAAGGTGGTTAGACCCCCCAAACCCACCCCAACCATCTTCTCAGGAGGTGGGGGTCCCAATGGATTCTCTACCTGCGACTTGCGGTCGCATTCGATCTGAGGATACGAGGTCTACTGTATTGCCTCTTGGGACGTCCAGGACGCGTTCTACTCGACACATGCGTGTCCCGTGAGTGAAACTGCTTGGATTGGGTTTGTTGAGTTGGATTCCGTTCCTCTGTTTCTACACAGATCAGTTGCATTTCCCAGCAGATTGACCCAGATTGACCAATTGACCATTGTGTTGGGGCCTCGTGAACAATACGACACATGTCTAGGCCCTCTAGCTCTGCTGTAGATGTGAAGTTGTCCAAGCGCCATTGAGCCTATCTGTTCAGCTTCAGCACTGGGGCCTTTACAGAAGGCCTTTCGATGTGACCCAGGAGGCTAAGGGCTTCTTGCTCTTCCATAACCCACAAGGCCTTTCCAGTCAAAGCCGCTCGACCAGCACCTGCCCGACGTCCGACGCGCCGTCCCAAATGGCTCCACCGAGTCACAATGCAGATCACGCAGCTCAGGACGACGCTGTGGGTCCCGTGGCACCCCCAACTCGCCCTGGTAGGTGGTCGATTTCGCCAGCCACAGCCAGGTCGCATGAGCCGTTTTCCCGAACAGGACAAGCCTGTGAAACTCACACAGCGCCTAACACATGGAGATCTCCAGTACAGGACTCCCATCATTGGATGGTCCAGATACTGTAAAAGAAACCTAGAAGATCTCGATGGCCACCATGGTGAAAACACATCCCAACGGCTTCAAGCGGGAGCGCAACCTTCAGAGGAGACGCCAACGACCATCGTGCAACGGATGGGTTTTCTCAAGCCGATCGTAGGAGCTGCCCAAAGCATTGGTGCTTCAGACTTTTTCGGCTTCACAGTCCTGTTTCTGTCAGAGTCCAGCCCACTGAAATTCGAGGAACATGCCCTATAGCAGTTCTCGATCTCCACATGACGATCTTTGGCTAACTGCAGCAATTCGGAAGTGCGTTTGCGGTGAACCCCGAGAAAGACCAGAGTCAGAGCATGTTCGAAATTCGTCAACTGGACTTCCCCAGACATCTCTCCCAGATCATCTTGATGGTCTTCAGAGATCTTCTGCCCATCTCAGGTGCACCCTTCAGTTTGGATGAGGCCAGATGTCTTGGCGCCGTTCCGCGGTCGCGCGCGCGCGCGAAACACCTGCGGCGCGGCACGAAGGTGGTCGGGACCGGCGTGCCACGCGTGCGTGGCAGGTGCTGGAGCTCCCGAAGGCGCAAGGACAGCAGATCTACCAGGCGCTGATCGGATGGGTCCTTTAATCCATGGATCGGAGGGGTCCGGGTACCATTGGGTATACGAAGGTCTGGGAGGTACTTCATAGTACTTCCGGAGAAAGGCTCTTTGGGAGCCGGCCAAAGGACATCCGATTCGGATGGCCCTGGACCCTTAGGGTATGGCCTGGCAAGATCTTGGAAGTGAGAGGAGAATTGAAAAGACACCGCCCTCGACCCGGACTTCCTTCACGGCCACGAAGGGAGGAGGTTATCCCGAACCAAAAACAGCTAGTGACTGTACCAGCTTCATTTTTTAGAGTTCACCATGCATTTTTTAGAGTGGCAGCGGAGTGTGATTCTTTAGAGGTGCACTTTTAGCCACACGCTCGCATCTTTCAGCCTGGAGATCAATGCCAATGGCATCCAATGGCAATGCCTTTATCAAAAGTGAGCATGTCATAACATCACAATGTTCAATGATGATCACTCTTCAAACATTTTCCTATATTTGCCTCATCATCCACCATAATCAGAAGGTCGACAATGGTCGACAATCCAAAAACCTATGAAAACTCATGTCTTTGTGTTTGTTTTCTTGTTTTTGCATGGCTTTGGGGTGAAAATGCACCAGCATGCTATTTCATGGGGCCTATCCCCCTAAAGAATCAGAACCCAGCCACGTGTCCCAGTCTAAAGAATCAGATGGCACCAATGGTCTAAAGAATCAGGTCCCAGTGTCTAGAACGCTGGTTGGGCAAGGGTGCATCCTGCCACCCCACAAGTTCCCAGGATCCCCCAGGCATTCTCCTATTAGAACCTAAAGTTTCCCGGGGAATCCTGGGGATGCCCAGATTCTTTAGACCCAGATTTTTTTCGACCATGGGTGCCATCTGATTCTTTAGACTGGGACACGTGGCTGGGTTCTGATTCTTTAGGGGGATAGGCCCCATGAAATAGCATGCTGGTGCATTTTCACCCCAAAGCCATGCAAAAACAATACAAAAACAAAAAGACATGAGTTTTCACAGGTTTTTGGATTGTCGACCTTCTGTTGTGGGGATTCTGGGAACTTGTGGGGTGGTAGGATGGTGGCTGGGTTCTGATTTTTTATAGGCTCATGATATCCCCGCAAATGAGGGTAACATGTGGTCTAAAAAATCAGACTCTTCCAGATGAAGATGAAGATTCATGGCAACTTACCGCAAAGTGTATTTTGGGCATTTTAGGGCTTGATTCTTTAGACATGTACATCCACATCCCTTACCCAACCAGTTCTAGACACTGAGATTTGATTGTCTAAGGTGTTATACCCGGTTGTACTGGGAGCTGGGGTCTGTACAGTCTTTTTGGGTGGATTGACCCTTTCTTAGCCAGATCATGTGGATAGATTTGAAGGGCTGAGCTTCAAATTCAGGCCCAAGCAGTCAACCCTTAGGACAACTTGGCGCCCCAAATCTACTAGGACGTAAGAACAATTACGTCCTAGTATGTAGTTTTCTTGATTTTTTGCACAGATGCAAGTTATGACAAGTTTGAACATGTTTGAACCTATTTTGTATTAGATGGTAGATTGCCGTGATTTCGGTTACAATCCTTCTTGAACAGTCATCATCATGGACTGGTACGTGTGTGGAGTGGGTGTTCCCATTCTTTAGAGGGAGTCCAGGTTCCAAACAGGTGTGTGCACTGTGCTCAACGTGTTCTGATTTTGTAGGGCCAGTGCCCAGTATGTGTTGGCAGAGTCCTGATTCTTTAAGCTACCATGTTGGTATGGGCACTGTGGATTGAGGATTCTTTAAGGTGGCAGCTGGCAGTGGCCACCTGGGTGTCCCTAAAGAGTCAGACAGCCCAAGAGAGAGGCCGAATTGCAAGGGGGATCTTGTACCCATGTTCCGAGAGCTTCTGAGGCAACGAACAGGTCCAGGTCCAGGTGGATTCAATTCTCTCCTCCCCCAAGGTCCATGGCTGGTCCCGGTGTGAATGAGCTGGTCCCGGTCGATGGCCGGCCCGTTAAGCACCTGTTTGATTGGATCGCGCTGCCATCTTCCAGATCAGCTGCGAATCGGCGGAAGTGATGGTCCGCACGTGCTTTTGCCGACGTCCAAACATGTCCAAATGAGGCACGGTCCAATTTGCAGAAGACTATGTACAAGTACGGACAGAGGCTCAAAATTTAGTAACTTTGGACCGTGGCTCATTTGACGATGTTTTAATGTTGGTTACCCTTCTGCATAGGACTCACATGGACCCCCAAAAGGCCACGGCAGGTGGTGTTTAGGACCATGGTCTTCCCATGATCATCCGAGAGTCCAAGTTCCGAGTCCCCGGGAACGAGTCACCCCAACGCTTCAGGCATTGTGTGTCGAACTGGAGAACATGTTGGGTTTGTAGTTGAAACGAATCCCAGAAGAGAACACCCCGTCTGGGTGATCTACTATTTTCTGAGATCGTGTCGAACTGGAGAACATGTTTGTGCCGATCTCAGAAAATAGTTGAAACGAATCCCAGACACGACTGATGGGACTAACATATTTATCTACATTGGGGTGGTTGAAAGGGGGGTCAATGGGGCGGCAGTCCTACGTATAGCAGTCCCAGACGGGTCGTGTTTGGGAATGATTGAACCTACGAACCAGATCCACCTGCGTCAGGAAGAAACGCTTTTTACAGAACCACCTGCGTCAGGATTCACCCCAAACATGGACATCCCCCGCCGCGCCAACGAGTTTCACGCCTTGGCTTTCTGCGTCGTGTCGACTGCATCGTGCAGGTCTCGCTGGTGAAGACGGCCTTCCGCCCCAGGCGAGAGTATTCCAGGGAAGAGAATGAATGAAGCGTTGTGACAGGATTGTTAGACCTTGGGTCATCGGTCCTTAGCCTGGTTGTTTTGCTTAAGGTGTAAAAACAACAAACAAACATATGGTTGAATCCCCTTCTGGTGATTTGTTGTACGTTCCTTAAGCACATCCGTTCGTTAGTATAGTCCCCCAAAGTTCTTAGGCTGTCCCCCAAGTCACAGATTCAGAGTTGTCTTTGGAGTGATGTATGTACTTTGGGTATGACCTGTAAGGGTCGATGTCGACCTGCAACTGCATCATCAAATGGGATAGTCCATTGCGAACCGAAGTAGGATCACCTAGTCAGACCATGTTTAAACATGTTTAAAACAGACTTGGACTTCCAGGGTAGAGCTAGCATTGTGAGGTTCTTGCTTGACTACCCTTTGATACCCCAGGGAGCACGGGTGTTGGACATCTCTGTTCTTGTTTGCCCATTGAGTCGATTTTTTCATGTTAGGTGGGTTTTGTAACTTCCATGATCTTGATCGGATCAGTCGTGCGTTTCTTTTGTTTGTGTGTGTGTTGTGTTGCTGTGTATATATATAGTAATTTAAATATACCAGCACCACGGAGAGGGTGGTTATATATTGGAAGGACAATAGAGATACGTATAAACCATCCTTTCTGTGGTGCTGGTATTTGTACAATATGTAATATATATATATGTATGTCTTTCAGCAACTGGTAGCAAGACCTGTGCGAAACAGCCCGGGTTGGGCGGTGATGCTTTCATTAAGTAAGATCACTTTGGCAAGCTTTGAACATCAATGACTTAGAACCTTTCTGTGATCTCTATTTGCGACCACCCACCTCCGCATTATATGGTCCTTTCCTAGTAAAACAGGGGTCAAACGATGTCAAATGGGCTCGAGGTATATCATTAACTCTTGCAGTCTCACTACCAGGGAGGCTCAGCGACTCTTCTTCGGTTGCTTCGTTGCCATGCTGTTGCTCATTGGTGCATGGGGTCGAAACAACTGGCTGAGAATCGTGAAAGTCGTGCATCGAGTCTCACTTTCCAGGTGCTCGCTGGTTTCACGACTGTTGTTATTGATATTGATGATGATACTACTTCATATTACTGTATGATGATGATGATGAGGATGATGATGAGGATGAGGATGAGGATGATGAGGAGGACGAGGATGATGAGGAGGAGGAGATTGAGGATTGAGCATTGAGCATTGATGATTGATGATGACGATGATGACAATGATGACAACGATGTTTATGACGATGATTAATGATGAGAATAATGTATAATGAAGGATGCTTGATGATAATGATGATTAAGGATGATTTTGATGATGCTGATGACAATGATATGTGTGCTCCAGCACGTGTTTGAAGCTCCAGCAGGTGCCGGATTGGCCGTGGACACTAATCTCACGCTCTTAAACCTCCCGTTTTCATTGGTGCCCCATGGGCGGTGCCAACGCTTTGCCCTACTTTGTTGGCATAGTGACTGGTCACTGTGCTTTGCTGGGGTGGTTGATCATTGAGTTGGTTCAGCAATCCAATGGTAAGGGCCACAAACAACCTGGTCCACGGTTACTTCCACTCTCACTGTATTAGCGTGGGAGAAACGGACCAAGAGTCTTTTCAGAGATTCGGCTGGCGGGGAGGGAACATTATTGATTCTTTTGCAGTGGCTTTGATCTCTTGGTGCTGCTGTCTTGTGTTGGCACTTGCTCTGTGTCGGCATCGCTGGATTGAGACAGTGGAGTTGGAACCACCATCGCCAACTCTGCAAGCGATTGCTCAAGCACAGCTAGCCGAGGTGCGGCTTCGAAAACATGGCAATGCTAAACAGGACAGCATTGTTTGAATACGATGTGGCCGGACCTGTTGTCATCCATGAGCGAGCCATTTTGCAACATGTTGCTGGAGACGAATCATATGCTATTCTCATGCCTGACATCGATATGTACATTGAGGAGATGGCTGTGACAAATAGCGACCTTCGTAGCTTCAGACTGAGACCAGCTCCCGGAGTTCTGCCGATCGATGATGTTGGATCAACATTGAGGATGTTTGATCATGATGATGACGACGATGATCACGATGATGATGATGGTGGTCGTGATTGACGACGATTGCTGATTAATGATTGATGATGGATTATTATTGCTGATTTATGATGTCGATGATGATGATGGTGATGGTGATTGTCATGATGATCATTGATGATGATTGCATACTATGAACATTGATGGTGATGGTACTCGAAAGCACTTGCTTGCAATCGGTGCATTGCTTGCAATCGGAGCTTATGCACCCAGAAACTGAGACTGATTCGATGTGTTGGATCCACACCTTTTCCAGTGTGTTTGAGCACACGGGTGTGGTTGATGTAGGGGCTGGTTGTTGTCACGTTGTTGCAGTCAGCACGTGCAGCGCTGCTCGCGCTGCAGTCATCATGGTGCGCAGTGTGTGTGGGATCAGCCTTTCAGGAAACATGAGTCGAGGCCTCACGTCGCAAAGAAGAGACAAAAGGTAGAAGGTGAAGAAACGACGAAAGGTTGGTCAAGTCGAAAAGGATACACTTTTCAGCAGAAACATGCAAGTGAAACCGCGAATTGAATCAAACATATTTAAGATGTCTCTCTCTATATATATATAACGTATATAATATATAAATACATATGTATTTGTTACATTGTATACTTTACAATTTACACATTCTGAAACCACTGAAGTGTCATGCCTGCCGCCCACCCCTCCTCCAGTGAAGAAGCGCCGTCTTCGCCACGACTCCCCGGCTGGAATTGCACTGCGTCGGGAGGCTTAGAAAAGAGTGATTTCAATGGGCAACATCCTGGGGTGTGAAAGCAACAAAAAAATGGAATAATCGATCACGGTAGACCAGAGTGATGTGTCTACAGCAAAAAAACAATCGGATCCATAAATATTATAACAGAGTGCAGATATACCAGAATTTGGAGGGATAAATGGATATCCGTATGGATCCAAATACCTTCTAGCCCTCCAAACCTACATAATAGGCTCCAAACACCTTCTCAGAAGGTATGTGGATCCAAAGGGTATGTGTAAAAATCTCGTACTACTTTGGACCCCAAATCCCTCCAATCCGGATGCATTTGGACCCAGAGACTCGTTCAGGAAAGGACTAAATGACTGATTCCCACACCCTGGAAGAAGGCTGTCAAGGTTAGAGGAAGAAAACACGGATTGAATTGATCATGCCTGGAACCCAGATGAGTGACCCCCGTTTTAGGAAGTTGGACCAGATTTGAGGTGGTGGGGTGGTCCAAAAGTAGAGATCCCTCAGGTTCTATCGCATATGCCTTGGTAGGTCGACCCCCGGGGTCGAAGACGCCGTTTCCCAACCAGACGTGAGGGGTATTGGCTTGGCTTGTCCAAGCCAAGAAACCCACTGAAGATGTGAGAGTGTTTCAGAGGTCTCCCCCTTTCTGGACAGCATGCGAGGACCAAATCTGGGACAAATGGGTTTATCTTGAGACTGTCGCAGGAATGGCTTACTACGCGCTATGAATGAATCTTGCTAGTGATCCACATACCTTCGTTTCACGAAGGTACGACTGGAGCCTCCTCCCATCGAAGAGTCTCCCATCACCGAGTGGATCCCTGGATCTATAGGGAGTCCATACCAGGACCTTCCGTTCCACCGAAGGAATCACCTCGTTCCATTGAGGCGATTTTATACCACACCTCTTGGAAGGCATATACCTCTAGTACATATGGGGTGGTTGATTTCAGGGGTGAATGTAGGTCAATATTTCAGTCCCATGGATTGTCTGGGCTATGTAAAGACATCTACCTCTTGGATGCTCCAGGAGCTAGTCCGGTGACTCCAAAATACCGGGGTCCCATCCGAAAGCCCACAAAGGCGCCCCAGCGTGCCCCAGCTTTGGCGGCGAAAGGTCTAAGGTCGGCAGTCATGGCAGCCCGGAACGGAAACCCTGGTAGATTGACCATGCTTAGTAGTCGTCTATTCATCTCTTCTGTTCATGTTCGGTGGGAAGAAGCATGTTCGGTGTGTCCCGGTTGAAAGACCGTCAGACTCATTCCAGTTGGAGGAAAAGCAACTGGTCTGGGTCCATAGAAATGATTCTTGGCCCTAGGGATCCAGTTGTACCTTCTCAGGTAGGGTACGACTGGACCCTCAAAACCGACATGAGAGGTTCGAGCACATCACCGTACCTGAGGTACGGGACGAAAACGGATCCCCAAACGGGTCGGTGACTCCTCGGAGCCCCAAGAGGTCACGAGACATCTCCATGTATTGACCGGCCTGATCGGTACCCGTCAAGCTGGAGGAGCTTCCAAAGCGATGACTCTTCAAGCTGCAGGCCGCGGGAAGACGGTGTTGCTGGGCGACCGTGGCGACGACCCGTTGCATTGAAGGGGTTTGTTCCATAGCAACTCTGCAGCTGGACATCTCAAAGGAGTTGGGGGCCCTCTCTGTACCCTCTCAGAACGGTCTTGATGGGAAGAACCCCCCATGTGACGTACCCCCATGGCATCAGCTTCCAGATGCCCCAGTTGAGTCATGTTAAGTCCAGGTCAGCGAGTTTGGGGCAGAAAGTCAAGTCGATGGGCAAAACGTGCGGCTTCGACTTGCGTCCGTCCAAGTGGACCCAGAAGCCTCTCCCCTTCCATGGAAGGGTGTCTATTTCTGTCATATAGTGATAACCCTCACGGGCGTTGTTCTATGTCCCTTCTTTCCAGGAGTTCGTTCGAGCTACACGCCCACTTGACACACCTCCGGAGCATGTTCAGACACATACCGAACCTGAGGTACGGTGTTTGGAGACTATTTATGCGCCACCGACCTCGGGCGTGGCGTCATACCTTTGTTTCGAAGGTGTATCCGTGGAATCAGAGGCCTCCAGTGTCCCGACACACCCGTGCTACTAGTAGTATTGCCTTTTGTTACTAGTAGCGATGCCCTTGTTCCTCGTAGCGTCCTTGCTCCTAGTAGCAAGGCCAGGAGCTACTTGCTCCTAGTAGCGATGCCCTGATGCCCTTGTTCCTAGTAGCATCCTTGCTCCTAGTACCAGTGGCCAGGAGCTACTAGTAGCTTCATTTCTCCTAGT